GCAATAAATAAAGGGTCCCTCCAGTATTTTTTTTTTTTTTCCCAGTACCGGGAATTGAACTCACCAGCTTGGGCTTGCCAGGCAGGTGCTCTGCCCCTGAGCTAAATCCCCAGCGCCGCCTCCAGTATTTCTTCATAGAGGCCCAAGCCCTTGCTATCTGATTGGGGACTCCCACAATTTTGGAAGACATGGCTGGATACGGATGCTTTGCATCAAAGGTGGAGGAATGGGGAGTATCAGGTAAATAATATCCCTTAGTTATTGCTGGCTGATCAGGTCCACAATCTCCCAGATGAATGTATGGTGAAGGCTAAATAAAGAGTCAAATAGAATGATTTCACGGCTCCAAGAAGATCAAAGCCCTCTCACAGAATTCGAGATTCTCTCAAAGCTAAGACCAAGACCTTTTCTGGGTGGCCTGTATTTATTTAGTTATCAGAAGAAAGGACAGGGGTACTCAAGAAGGGCAGAATCACTCAAGGACTTCTCCAACTAAGGTATTAAATTAGTTTTTAATAAGGATTAAATTAATCCACCTAGGAGTGAGATGTCTGAGGCTATAGTCTTTATCTAGTTGAGATCAGATCCAGGTATTCTTGGTTGTTCTTGTCTTATCCTTTGAAGCTTTCTGGCTTCATCCACCATTACAGGATTTAATATGGATTAATGACTCACAGAGCTTCACTTACTATGAGTCTGCCATTCATTTCCAGACAAGGAGCCTAGGCCTTGAACAGATCCATAAATGAAAAGCCAGTTTAAGTCCTGCCCAGGGCTGCTTCATCCACTGAAGGAGTCCACCAGGAACTGACTGAGCCCATACTAGGCATGCAGAATCACAGAAATTTAGAGTTGGGAGTGGGACAGTGGTTCCTCTTGGGCAATGAACATGTTCAGTTTTCAGAAAAAACTAAATAGCTCTGCTTAATGACTTGTATCTTAATTAACCTGCACCCTATCTCCATGATCTTATGGATTCCACAGACACTATGACATCAATACGTTGCTCTCCTGTGATGTAAACTAAATATACTGGTCACTCTTGACCTGTGGACAGTCTATTCTATGCCCCCATACATACCTGGATATTTAGAGTAGGTCCAAGACCTCTATATACCATGGTTTTTGGGAAACATATGAACATGTGTTAAAATTTAACTTACAAATTGGGCATAATAATGAATTAACAACAAAACTAATGCTAAATTAGAACAATTATGCCAGTATCATGTAATATAATTACATGAATACATGTAATACACTAATATGCTCCTTTAATGTACTGTACTAACCCTACTTGTGATGATCTGAGACAAAGTGGCTACACAAAAATCTAAAGTGAGGGAGTGACAGAATGGTGGGTGGACAGTCTAAGATTTCATCATGGATCTGGGATCAGAACATTTTAAAGTTTAGAAGTACATATTTCTAGAATTGTCTATTCATTATTTTTGGACTGTGTTTGAAACTGGGTGTATAAAACCATGCAAACAGAAACTGCAGGTGAGGAAGGGATCAGTATAATCTTTGATTCCATGCCTAATCTCTTAGACTGAGTTGAATGAGGGTTGCATTTGCAATGGCCAGGCTAGCCTCATATTTAAAGTTTTTGTAGGTGAAGCCAGTATTTCAGCTGTCAAACACTAAAGTCTCATAAACGCACCTGTCACATTGGCTCTGTATGTTGGTGGGTCTAATATTCTGCAGTCTGGAGCACAGGGGTCTCCTAGGCATTACACTTATTAGGACTGTTGATGTCTCCAAGCCTGTAGTTCCACTGGCCATTGAATTTGTTGGGGGTTCTTTAAAGATAGCTCCCATTCTGTGGGAATACTCAGTCTGGACCTTTAGACCAAGAGATCCTTCAAAATCTACATGTAGGAAGCCACATCTGCATACTTCTTGTATTTTGCATGTTTTGAGAATTAGCACCATATGGACCATAAATTATGGCTTGCACTTACAAAGCCAGTGGACCAAGCCATACATTGGTCAAATTAACTCACAATTAGGATGGCTAATAAATGCTGCACCAGCATGTGGGATCAGAGAGCTAAGCTTGGCTTGGGCAGACAGCTGTAAGGTACAACAGGTGAATACCGCTATAAATATTTCCACTCTAAAAAGACTCTTGGTTTTCATGGTAAGGACAGCTTTGAATAGTTCCAAAAATATTTTCAGGGTTTTTCTCTTTTGTTTATTATACAGAGAAAAAAGAATACAATAATAAAATAACACAGACAAAAACAAAACCAAGCAAAAACAGAAAAAAATGTTACAAAGTTTAAAAACAAAATGATAGGAATTAACAGTGGTTGTTATATTACATACTGTTATCTTCAGCGAAGTTGCTCAGACTGTCAGATATAAAAATTCAAGATTGATAAAACCATTAAAGAGAATAAAATAATAATAATGATGATAATAATAACAATAATAAACACTAGAAATGACACAGAGCTTCACCAAACAAGATGGAAGGAATTCACCAATTGTTATATTACATGTTGTTGTTTTCAAATTAGTTGTTCAGATTACCAGATATGAGCATGCAAAATTGGACAAAAAAA